CGCAAGATGAAAATGATAGATCAGCTAACCTGGCCACTGTTACGATAGAACAACACCTGGCTACCCCCTGGGAAGATGATAGCAGCTAGAAACTATGCTACAATTTTCAGCTTTACTGACAATAATCATAGTTCTACTTCCACAAACAATGATATTTAGTCTTCAGCAACCCTTTTATTGATTCTGCATTATAAAATTGAAGTGTAAACATTTATTAACTTGTTGATTAGCAAGCGAAAGCTTCAATAAAATGTTTTTCCTACAATTTTGTGTTATTAAAATAGATCATCACAACATTAAAATGTATTGATATACTCATTTATATAATAATTTTTTTAATAATTTTTTTTTTGGGGGGGGGTATACAAATGTGTACATAATTAATTAGGGGGGGTCACTGAAAGTTTGACAATTGTTGACAAGGGGGAGGGGTACGAAAATTGCTTAAAATATGTTGACGTAATTATTAGACGGCTGGGGGGGGGGGTCATTGACAGTTGTTAACAGGGGGGGGAGGGGGTCAAAAATTGCTTAAAAATTGTTGACGTAATTAATAGACGCCCCCTAATGACATTTCTATGCTCACTGAAGTGAACGAGGCTGCGTAACTCAACATTGTGCATGCAAGCCCTGTTTATGGAAATTTTGCAGATATTTTTTTTATTTTATTATTTAGCATGCAAGAATTTAATGTTTAAAAAAAGTAAAGAAAATCCTTTTCCATTTGCCCACAAATTTGTCGGATTGGACTGTGGATCATTTTGTTAATTAATTATTATAATAAATTAACTTCCTTTTTTACACAGACACATTAACTTAATTGTATTCTTATTATTCACCAGGTCAGTTGAAACATTTCTAGAATATTGATTCGTGTTTCTTAAATCTTAACACCTTTTTAAGTGCCTAAACGGGAACACTGTGGCCACTATGGCAACTTGATGACAACTTCTCTCCGAATCCAGCATAGACAAGGATGGCCGATCAATCGTGGATCTCACATAATACCTTGTTTTAAGTCACCGGAAGCTTTCCTTGCATAATTTCAGCCTTGGGGGTTTTGTCCATGGTGAGCCGGTAGTGGATGTAGTAGATATGGGAGGTCCTTCCATAGGATTACCCCCCCCCCCTCAGTTTTTCCCAGATATGTCTTAGTGTCCCAACCGCACTGCTCATTATGTTTGTCAGAATGAGAAGAAAAGGAGAGAGAATGAAGACCGTTAAACACGTGACTCCGTATAGAAGAATGCAGTCAGTGGGTGCAGAGAGGGACAGCATTTTCAGCCACCTGGAGAATTTTTACTTGGAAAAGGGGGGGGGGGGCGGCAAAAAAGCTTCCCCCACCCCTGGCTACTTCCCTGAATTTAGTGTTTCCATTATATATATATATATACACACATCTTAGTGTCCCAACCGCACTGCTCATTATGTTTGTCAGAATGAGAAGAAAAGGAGAGAGAATGAAGGCCGTTAAACACGTGACTCCGTATAGAAGAATGCAGTCAGTGGGTGCAGAGAGGGACAGCATTTTCAGCCACCTGGAGAATTTTTACTTGGAAAAGGGGGGGGGGGCGGCAAAAAAGCTTCCCCCACCCCTGGCTACTTCCCTGAATTTAGTGTTTCCATTATATATATATATATACACACACACACACGGAGGTCAAACATTAACTGTACCAAAAAATGGATTTCTAGCTCATTTATTAATTTTCATCCCAGCCCATCTCTTAAAATGAGAAATTCCAAGGGCGTTGTTGTCTCACTTTACACAATGAGGCCCCACAAAGTTTGCCGTCATCTCTATACATTTAATTTGTCTCTGTCTGTTTTAAGAAGAAATAAGGGCTGTGTATGTGGAAGTTTAGCGTCATACAGTTAAAAACTTTGTTATACCATCATCAGCAGTTCAGCTGTACAAGAAATGTTATTTGATGGGTATCAATCAATCACTGCATAGAGAGTTTGGTTGCAGGACATTAAGGACACGCAGAAAATCTGAAAATCTATTTATGCTGTTGCAAACTAAATTAAGCTCTTTTTTTTTTTCATTATTTCCCCTCTTAGTTTGCAATCTGTTGGTACAAGTGATTTGGGATTTTAATTTGCAAAGCAAACAGGTCTAAAAATCTTTTCTGGGAGAAATACCAGGTAATGTGGATAAGGTATGGGCAAAATGGAGTTGTATGTGCAATAAAATTGTATGATCAATAAAATGGAGCTGTATGAGCAACATGGAGTTGTGTGGCCAACAAAAATGGAGTTGTATGAGCACCGAGGAGTCGCAGCTTATCAATTGATAAATACATTTTTTAAAAACCTGCCTATATTTATAGTACCATGTTTATTGTCAGAGCTGTGCTGTAAACAGCCAATGTTTTGTTACAATAAATTTGTTAGTGGGAACAAGTTACAGTAGTTTTCATACAAACAGGAGGCAAAATATTAATAGTGTTACATTAATGACATTTGTTTAAAAAAATCAAATCAACTATATTTACACAGGTATCAAATAGTATCATTACCTCTGCCTCTGTTCCCCCCAGATCTCCCTATTTATAACTGTAGGAAAAAAAGTACCTTACACATGTTGTAAAACATGCATATTTAAAGGCATAGAGTTAGTGAGAAAATATTGATTTACTAACTAGGAAGATGTGTGTAATCAATAAAAATACTAATGCCAGATGCACAGACTTTGAGTGTTCTTTTGCCCACATGGACCAGACTACTTTTTACAATTTCATAAAGCCTAGGATCTGCGTCCTTATCTCGCATTTCAGCACAAACTATTTGATCAATTATTTCCATAGTTCTGGGCGTATCATTGCCAAGTATTGAGAGGAGGTGAAAATGTGACAGACCTCGTTTTTTTAATCTCATTGACGTAGACATGTTTTATTTTGTTTGCATTTGGTGCTTACTTGATCAAGCTAAGGATGGGGAAATCGGCTATTGAGAGCAGGCTGGACAAGATCCACTCTGGAATGATTATCATAGATTTCTGATTTTTATTAAATGTAATTAATTTCTTTACTAATAAATAAAATGATCCTACCAAAGACAATTTATGGAAATGACAGTGCAAAAATATTTTCAAAAGAAAGAACAGAGAACTCGTATTAAAAAATATAATTCCTTCGATTTTCGAGACTAACAAAAAAAAATACACCTATATACTAATAAATACCATATCTTTTTAATAGACAAATGAAAATAAATACCAAGTTTAATTAGTTAAAATAGGGATGAGTATTATATAATTGATCTTAAAATGTTATGTTTTTGTTTCCAAGTGATCTCCCCTGTCAGTGTCGAGCCTGATTGCCAAGTTGTGATGATTTGACATGATTGAGTAAGATCATGATTGCAGCTGGCGTCATGCCTGGGATTCTGCTGGCCGCAGCAATCTGGATGTGATAAAAATATTAGATAAAATAATCAACAATGCCATTTTGCTGCGGTGTAGGCTGAAATATGCTACAACTTTTAAGGATGCTTTTATTTTGCAATCAACATGCATTTTCACAGAGAGATGTACGCTGAGAGATTTACACAGAGATTCACATCCACAAAATTCTGTTAATTTAGTTAGTTAACGTCAGTTTTTATTTAAGAACATTTCCAATGTTGTTTAAGCTTGGTCAGTTGAGTGTGGATTGCTGTACAATGTCAATCCCAATGTGGCTGAGA